ACCTGAAAGCCCGGTGTAAAATGACAGTCGCACGTCCATGAATTATTGCCGAGATACAGATTAGCTGCATTTCTATTGTGCAGCAATGCATCCTCCAGAGCGTAAGTAGGCAACTAAAAAACGTAGACTAAAGAATCATAAATTGTATTTGTGGTCTTATATGCTGAAATAACAACTGGTGATATAAAAAACAGCGCGTGATATTTTATAATCTCCCCAAATCGGGTATCTCAATTCTTAATCGTCTACCGTGCTGCACGAAATCAACTCAAACAGTTTTTCCATATATCGACTCGACATCCGTCAAATGAAACGGATTGTTTGCTTACGTGACATCTGATAACTTTGACACGGCAAACTAACATCGGTAAGTTTATTCCCTCGAAGATTAAGGCGTCGGAAATGGTCCAGCCAGTCTGATCCTTCTAAGCGAGCGATAGATTCTACCAGATTATCGTCTATGTAGAGGTCTAACAGGGACTTGTAAGCGGGATTTGTCGCAAGCGGAGTTAGGTCCTTGATCTATAGTAAACAACAGACCAGATTAAAGTATTTTAACCACCGTCTAATATGAATCATTATAATATGTAGATATATGAAAAGTGCATTATATAAGAAAACTAAAGGGAAATAATTTTCAATATGTTTTTTTATATTTATTCTTTATAAAATATATATTATTTACTCTTTAAAAATTTAAATAAAAATATATGTTTTTTTCTTTAAAAATAATAAGTTTATATTGATATTTTATAAGTTGCTTTGAAATATAATTATAAATATCTATCTGAATCTCATATTTGTCAACGTTTTGTACTTTCTACTTCATAACTTCACGACGCGTCTGTAAAAATTATTATTTAAAGGGGGAGAATTATGTAAATATAAATGACCTTATTTCCACTTAGGTGAAGAATGTTTGTATCTGTGGGTAAAAATTCGGGCATTTCTGTTAGACCGCGATGACTGCAATTGACTGAAATAAAAACTATAAGCTGTCTCTGCGTAAGTTCGCCTGGAGGAGTAACGTAAATCAATTCGCAATCGCAAACAGTCTCTTTGCATTCCTCCTTCAATGTCTGAAAATCAGATTGATTTAGCGGGGAACTCAAGATCTGTTTAATCATCAATTACAGGAAGAAGATGCATTTTCTCGTTACCACGATTATCTTGACAACCGGGACAAGCGGTCTTCCATCATGCGGCGTGGCACAAAGTAATTTGTCTTTGTCGACGACTTTACTCGCGGCTGATCCTTCACTGGAGTCCAAAATCCACGCTACATCTTCCGTACATCTCAATGGATTACCTTCGTCAGTACATCTTCATTAATTATCCAACATTCGCGCATCAATCGAATACAATTTTGATTAAACAATTCATTAATCACGTAAAAAATTTTAGCACTACAGAAGTATTGCACAGTGTATTTCACAAAAAATATAATATACATTTTAGTTTGCCAGATTTTCTTAAATCATAACTTATTTATTTGACAAATTTGTGCATAAAATTTTATCGAATTATTCTCACCGGTCAGATAAATATCTTTTAACGTAGGTACATCAAAAACCGTAATACTGATGTCTTCGAGAGCATTGTTTCTTAAGTCGAGGCATGTTAAAGTCCGCAGATTAGAGAACGCATCGTTCGGTAGTAAACGCAGTTTGGTGCCGGTCACATTGATTTTCTATTAATTAATTAATATAAACATTTCCTCCAAGCTTTTGTAAATATTTTCGAGATAAAATATACGCGAAATATAATCTCGCAATAAAAATGAATTTTCATGATCAATGTCTTCCAAGACAGTTTGCTGAACGACAGTTTGTATCCTATTCTTTGATTAAATAATGTTAAAACTGTCCCACTTATTGTCCATGAAAATTCGAATAAGCAACTTTAATGAAGTATAGACAAAGTTCTCGCTTGCTGTTCATTTGGCCAAGCATTTTCTACCTCCAGAAATTGCATCTCGCTTGGAAATGCAGTTGATAATTGAGTTAAGTTACTGTTCGCGATTATTAACTTTCGTAAGGATGTGAATCCCCGTAGAATCTCTTGCGGATCAAACGTTGCCTTCGGCCATACACAAAGAATAAGTATCTGCACATCTTTAACCCTAAAAATATTATTTTACTTTTTTTAAAACGCTTTATCTTTTTAAAATAATTACAATATCGAACTACTTATACAGCACAGATCATTCTAATAACGCAGCAACTTTTTTATTGTAATGTTCCAACAATATTGCAGTAACAGTGCAAATGCTACAGCAATGTTTCTACAAGTCTCTGCTTTATGTAGATAAACTTTAATTTTGCGTCAAGGAATCAACAATATTAACTCGATATTTATAAAAAATTTATATTTTAGATTTAGTTCTTAGTAGTATTACCTTGCTCTCCATTCATCTTTAAAGCCGTTAAAACAGACGAGACGTTGTTGACTTTCCGTAAAGTCGCATTCGGGGTGAATATTGGCACGTGGATGATAACAAATCTCGTCATCTTTCGTGAAGCCACGAGATAAATGTACATGTATAAAGAACGCGAATCTGTAAATAAAACAGTTTAATTGTAAGGAAGATACCGAATTATAATGCGAAGTTATCTCGCGGACGTTAGATATGCTTCTTCGTGATATCAAAACTAGCTTCTTGCGCTCATCATGTTTAAATATCAATGCGTGATCGCACAGAGATATAATTTATCCTATTTGTTCGTAAAATAATAGTTTGTTTAACAATATTACACAATTCGTGGACTCTCGTGGAGGCGTGCGACGGAAGTAAATAGATGGTGCACGATAGGCCAGCATGTGAGATTTATAATCTTTATTACGTGGCAGCTTCGTTATTTGCGCAAGACGATAACGAGACCGATGTACCATTATATTCGCCAGCGTCAAACTGACTTACGTACATAATTTAATATCTCGTATTTGTTTTCCTAGCTTTTGATGCGCACCGCAATCGTTTTAACTTATCAATGTTTGAAACACTTTCGCGATTGATTAGCCGCCGCTTTCCAAACAATTTAATTTTAACAGCTCAACCGTTCTTAATGAATATGAACAAATTACACAATGCGAATGTCTGAATCTTCGCCTTAATCTTGTTTTTGATTGTCGCAATATTGTCGCGTTGATACTAAATATTGTGTAAATGTCGTTACAGTTATCTCTCCGCTTAACGGTGAACCATCCTTCATATGAAGAACCTCGCAAATTTAAGGCTTCTTTACTGTATATTAGATCTCAGATTGTGATATTAGAAGAAAATTCATAATAAAATTCTTGCAAAGTATATTTAATATGAAAATATATTGCAATAAAATAAAACTTACAATCCATAGAATCAACTTGTAAAATATACCAAAAACTCTCCTTTTGTTTTGTTAATTTCTTCTGGAAATAAGAAGATAGTTTTTGATACATTTTATAAGTCTTTTTTTATGTCTATTCTGTCAATTGAAAATGTTGTTTTATTGAAAAATATTTCTATTTAAATATAATTTGCAAAAATATTTATTTTGTGTCTTCTCGTTTTTAATATCGTAATTGAAGATAGTAATAGTGAATGAACAGGAATCTTAATCAGTATAACAATCAAGTGTGCCTTTTTCTAATTGCAACACGTAATTATCTATACAAAATAGTATTTGTTTATAAATCTAAATCAATGAAAATAAATGTGATAGTTTTCAAATACAGTGAAAATATTAATTTCCTGGCAAATTATATTTATTTTTTTTAACAGATATTTATATTAAATATATCAGAAATCTTTAACGCATTTTAAAAATTTTATAAATTTGTAATAACAATTTATTATAACAATTGATATGTTATCAATGATCGATCGATATCTTATAAAAATCTTTTACAAGATTTTGGAGAAGCCGGTTGCAAAATTGATTTAAATATTATAATAAAATCTGCGCAACGTTAAATCGTAAGCAAAAGATAAATAAATACTCACAGAAAAGTTCGTTGCACTATCATTCTCAAAACATGAAATGTTAAGATACAGTCAATAAGTATCAACGTTGATAAGTTGTTCACACAAACAAACAGTAATTTGTAAAGGGAATTTTATGTAATGGAATTTTCGTATCACTCAGCACTTTTTTTTTAACGCAATAGATGTCGACCTAACGACGTACTCGTACCACGTGTGCTAACGCGATAGGTGTCGTATCAAGAATGGCAGCGCTGCTAATGAGAAAATAAATGCTATATTCGACGTGTCAGCAGGTGGATAACTTAAACGGCTTAACATGTAATGAACATATTATGCGATAACAGTTGTGGAGAAGCGATCTATACTCGTGCACATATTACGATCTATACTCGTAATACATATTGCGATAATATATTTTTTAAACAGTGAAATTCACAACGTCAGCCGGTGAGCGAACATCATGCTCGCATTATTACAAGTTTCAGATTTTTAAAAGCAATTGTAAAAATATTTGGTAATATTATTGAATTTGTGACATTTTTTATTGTCTGTAATTAATAAATATTATATATTACCATAGTTTCAATTTGGATCAGACACCATAATATTCAATTTTAAAAACATCATCGTATTATATGTGGAAGTAGCTTTTTGCATTAAATAAGAAACTTGCATTGAATATGATTGAAATCGAATTATTCAATATTTTCTATATAGTACAATTTTTAGCGAATAAATTAAAAATTAAAACAATGTAAAAATAAAAAATCGAAAAAATATTAAAAAGTTCGATCACGATAATTTAATTCTAATAAATTTGTTTGGCAAATCTTAACAAGAAAATATTCAAAGAAAAAATTTATTTATAAAAATAAAATATGAGTATAATATAAGTATGATGTGATACAATACAAAAATGCTATGTTTAATTCAACTATGATTCATTCAAAAGTTAATTGAAAGTGATTATTTAGTGTAAAAATTGTTCGCATAAATACGTAATATAAGCAAATTAATTTATCTTTCCTAATTACGTTAACAAATTTGAATCATAAAATTTATCAATCTATTTTTTGTTTTTTAAACTGCTTTAGATGATTCAAATCTATCATTTTTTATATTTAATCTGTCCAAATGTACGCATTAGATTTTCAAATTGCGAGCCACATTCGATTAAATATTGGACTAGGGAATCAGCAAATTGGACAAGTTTTTAGTCCACGCTATTGGTCTGTGTCTGTATATTTAGTCCAAAAAAGTGGATCTTCTTTATCGACTGAGTTTTCGCCATTAAATGTCAGTTTATCCCCTAAAAAACCTTCTCGCAAATTCCTGACCATACGCGCGCGAACGAATTCGTGGCGCTTTTATGAACGCGATTAGTGTGTAACCCTCTATCTGGTTAAGGACGACGACGGTTGCATTGTGCACCCTCGAGAAAAGCGCATTTTCCGGATTCGCCTGTCGGCGTCGGCTGGCATCGGCGATATTCAAATTTTGTGGCAGGACTGCAAGCAAAGGCAGATCGGAACGACGTGATCGAGATAACGTGGGACGCTGTTTTGCGTCGTCCAACCGCGAGTGTTTTCTAGATACGAAAATCGCCGCATCGTCGAAGACTCGATGTCAGGGATAGCGATAGCCAGGCTCGCTGAGGAGCGTAAAGCATGGAGGAAGGACCATCCGTTCGTGAGTTTCTGTTCCTCCTACGCTTTCCCGCGGGAACGCGCCATCGGTTTCCCGCTTGGTGCGCCATAGAATCCCGGCAGGGCAGAACATCACGTTACTCCATCGTTACTTGTCGCGATTGTAAACAGTGACCCTGCATCACCCGCGTGGCATTTCATACATCTTAAAAGCTAGAGTCTACGTTATTCGTTTTACCATAACCAACATTTTTACTCATATAAGCAATTTTTATCTTATCTGTAGAAAGAATCAAATTAATTGGTCTTTAATCAATGTATAACATTGGACAGTAAGACTGAATCATGAAATTTTAGAGAAATTTATTTTAGTATTGTGTTTAGAATAGTTTAAAATTTTGTATATATATTTGAATTTTTCCTGTAAATAATATAAGGACTATTTGTAGGGGTTTGTAGCTAGACCAACTAAAAATCCAGACGGTTCCCTTAACTTGATGAGTTGGGAATGTGCGATACCTGGAAAGAAATCTGTAAGTCAATTTCTTTCAAGTGTAGGTGACAAATATTCGAATTAAACTTGCGATTTTGCAGACTCCGTGGGAGGGTGGCCTGTACAAGTTACGTATGATTTTCAAAGATGACTATCCTTCAAGCCCACCAAAATGTAAATTTGAACCTCCTCTATTCCATCCAAACGTTTATCCATCAGGCACTGTATGTTTGTCGCTTTTGGATGAAGAGAAAGACTGGCGACCAGCTATCACAATCAAGCAAATTCTCCTTGGTATTCAAGATTTATTGAACGAGCCAAATGTGAAAGATCCAGCTCAAGCCGAAGCTTATACAATATATTGGTATTTATGAGACATTCAGATTATGAACTTAACAATAGTAATCTGAAGAATAATTGAGGATTTCTTTTGCAGCCAAAATCGTTTGGAATACGAGAAGCGTGTTAAAGCTCAAGCCAGAGCAATGGCTCCGCAGGAATAAGTCACAAGAATTGTCAACTCGACATATTTAAAATATGTGAGAAAGATATTGTATGTGGATAAACACATCATAAACTGATTCATAGCTCTTTATAATTAATCTTTTTTACGAGTAATTAATATATGTTGTAACTAGTTAAGTAGTTCATGGTCTTAACGTTTATTTATCGAATATTGTCTTTATTCAATGTGTATATTTTTCAAAATTTCAAAATGTAGTGTATACTAACGTCAACATACGAAAATCAACATATAAATCACATATAAATTCTTTCGCACATAAATAATAATTCTTATTAATATTAAGACCCATGTTATAAGATATGTATACTTTAAGGCAGAATTATTTTTTGATCAGCCCTTTAATTTTTAAGTCTTACAGATAATTACTGATGTTATTTTTAAAACAGTGATATAAGAGAAATTAAAAATAGCTGCTATTAAATAAATATCCATCGTCTCAAGTTTCTCTATCAGTTCCATCTTTTAATAAATGATAGTATGCGTAGATAGACTAAATTTACTATGTACAATTTTCAACAAAAAAAAATAAATTTAACTCGTTAGAACATCATGATAAAAAAAGATGACCTTTGCACTCATTGAATCCTAGATAAGTATATGCAAATAGTATTTCAAGAGAATCGTTTTCCACGTTGATGAACACACATTTGACACTTGAATCGATGCGACGGTGAGTAAAGTAGTTTAACATAATGTAATACTCCATTATCGATTTTCGCTATTATCTTATCAGTACAGCTGTTTTGCGTAGACGTGACGCATCACTTTCGAAACCTCTCAAAGTGATCTTTGGATAAAGTACATCATATATGATGAGTCATACCGTCAGTGTGTTGAATATTGATGAGAATATGGAATATGTATACAGTGGTGCAATAACAAATTACTAGCATTCACAGTACTGCACAGTATCATTTCGTAACACAATGACGGGAGTTGAAAATTGCGCGTTCCAGAAATTTAACGCCGGAATCGTTTTCACGTGCGTGCTTGGTCTGGTTCTTTCATACTACGCTTACACCGTGGAGGTCAAAAAGGATCAAGATGATTCGTACCAACCGATGTGCGACATTTCCGAGCATATAAGCTGCACCAAAGTATTTATGACCGAGTAAGCAAGTATTATCGAATCAGTGCAATGGTACTTGAACGTGACTTAACATATGCTCAAATCTTGAATAATTAAACGAGTGTTAATCTATATCTTTATTCTATGTAAATCATTACGATTTTTTTTTATTTACTCAACAGTTCCGTTCGTTAACATAAACATGTTGCATAAACATGGACATTGTTCAGAATCAGTGAATAAATGTGACTGTTAAAGCTTTACTAATTTTTCAAAAACGCAATATAGACTTTCTCTCATTGTTTCATAATATGATATAATATACATATATGTAACGATATCGGTATATAAAGATATTTTATTAATATTTGCATGTTTTTGCATTACGCTCGATTCACAGGTCATAAACAACAATTACATTAAGCCATTATTTCATTTGTTTTTGTCGTACGACAAATTTTTTCAATTTTTTCAATTTGTTCATTGACTATTGCCCGCATTCATATCTCAATCAGGCCTTATATTTAAGGCTTCCTTAAATTTATCTTTAGATGCTCTACGAATTATTTCATTGGCTGCTGAGCATCTAAAGATAAATTTAAGAAAGTCTTAAGTACAAGGTCTGACTATGAATATAAGATATATAAGATTGAGAGATCCGAGGATCTCTATCTATACTCATTTACTTATCATACGACAAAAACACACAAATGAAAGCACTTTTAGTGATGTGTTCTATTTCACGAATGATGCGCGTACAACATGATTTTATTCTATTGTTTAATATTTGGTGAGCAATAAGGATAAATTAACATATCATGTTCCAGTGAGAAATGATAATAGAATCGACATCGAATCTATTACATTATCATTTCTCACTGGGTTGCATCATTCATGAAACGCATTCTAAATGATTACAATGAAGATTGCTGCTGAGTAAGTGCTATATAAAGAAACTTTAACAAATCCAGGAAATCATTTCTCATTGGCTATCACGTGGAATATAAGGTTCTAAGGGTTACCACATACTTTTCATAATAATAATCATAAGATGTGACGTAAGCATTAGTTAACCACAGTCAAGAATTAAAAAATTAAAAATTTTCAGTTCTGATTGACTAATTCTTATGACACGTGTTACAGTTATTGAGTTATGGCCGCAGCACAAATTCTTACATAAAAGAGATCGATTCTGTAACTCTTAGCGACAGTTGTTGATATCGTTGCGCAGATATTATATAAAGTAAAAAAGCTGCGCAATGACATCAACGACTGTCGTTACAAGTTACACACATTCTACAATAAGTCATTAGTTATAAATCAGAAGTTAGAAGCTGGAAATTGACCAATCACAGTCGTTAATTTTGGCAATTACAGAATTGGCCCTTAAAACATAATACATAGTGCATAAGGGAATCAACCAATCGAAATTCTTCTTTTTTATGGAATGGGAGGAAAGGAAAGATTCTGATTAGTTAATTCGCTTATACATTATGCGTTATGCAAAAGTCTGTGCTGCGGCCTTTATTCGTGTCACCGACAAGGTACTATTAAAGACCGACATCCTTATGGGAGTTCGCGTCCTTGTGAATATTGAAGTGATTAAGAGTTAAAAACTGATAATATTGTACGTATTTTTATGATTTATTAGTTTAATAGACGTATTTATGCATTTAGAACTCAATAATACTCGATTTTTCTTTAAAATTGTGATTTCAGTGTTATCGTCAAAGTTTGATTATCAACAGAGATGATAACTGTAGAGAAAAAAATTGTAATTTTTCTACAATATATAGGATATTACAGCTCTATAAGTATGCATATTTATTTATGGAATATTTATGTAATAAAAAAATCATAAATTTAATAATGTATAAATTAAATATTTATGTTAATAATAAAATTTATATCAATTGTCGATAATGTCAGCGTTCTTCAATTATCTCTGGACCCTTGAGACCCTTTTTATACCGCCGAAAATTTGTCCAGGGTTAACGGTCTTTAATAGTATCTCGTTGGTATCCGTGCTGGAAAGTATGTGCGGTGACCCTAAAGTTTGGTCTGTTCGTGTTGCTTGTACTTTTTGCATTGCGTATCTTCAAGATTAGAGAGCCTTAAAGGGAGAGAGTAGGGTATATCCACACAAACTTGCATAGTGGATATACTTTTAAAGCCATAGCACAGACTTTTGCATAACGCATAACACATAGTGCATAAGCGAATCAACTAATCGGAATCTTTCCTTTTTTCCCATTCCATGGAAAAGAAGAATTTCGATTGGCTGATTCTCTTATGCTCTATGCAAGAGTCGGTGTTACGGCCTTAAAGGGCTTCACACATGAAATG